AATGAGGAAAATCAAAATCAGGTCTGGGGTGTTCCTCCAGGATTTATATTGTCTGCTTATATTCCGGTGCTATGGATAAAGGTGATGGTGTTCAGTGTAATGAAAGTAGTTTCGTCTGCTGAACGACTCATCAAATACAGCAGTTGCATCAGTCGCTATTCTTTCATAATAGCAGAAAAATTAGTGATGTGGCTTTAGACATATGGTGAAATAAATCACATCCGCAAGACGATTCGTTTCTTGGCATTTCTGAATCTGAGTGTCTGGCTATCACACCCATAAAGGAGGATTGGAAAAATGGCGCCCTGCGGCACTCGCACTGTGTCTACAGACTGATCACTAATTATTTCCACATGACTTGCGGAGAAGCGTCCATCTCACTGTTGCAATCAGAGTCGTCGGCTAGTTGTAGTGGTTGGTTTAGTGATAACAAGGTAAAATTGAGGTATCATCGGATTAGACTTAACCTCGAATCAGGTTTGGTCCATTGTGGATGGATTGAACTACGAATCAATTTCAGACCATTTCCGCATGAAATAGTCGATGCATGTGGCATCGAAGTAACACTGTTCACGAAAGCGTAGGCCTATGGCAAACAGAAAACGGAACAATTTTTGAAAATATCGAAAATTTAAGGTTGTAACTCGGCGATGAATTATTTCCGCTGAGTAAATAGACGGTGAACTTCGACCACCTCATGTCGCAATTATTCTTGACCTGTCAGATTTTCGAATCTCTAGATCACTCGACACATGTGTCTGGAGAATAACGCTCTTTTTTTCGAAAGTTCAAACGTGACCGCGGTCAGGTGTCAGGCCCCTCGATCAACCGCAGTAAAATCCTATTCTTGTCCAGAGCAGATCGGCCATTTTTTCAGTCTATCGTTCCCATGCCGAACAGCGCATCAACCAAATTTCTATCACGTGATTACATTACATCAGTCGATCGCCAATTACAACAGCGAGCAGTTCGAACGACACGCGTGGCACTTCCGGGAAACGCTAGAGACCTGTTAATAGATACTTCACAGAGAGCGATTAGCAACCAGAGTACATCATGCCTGTCAAATAGGTTTAAGTCGTTCACTTAAAATTTTATGGTCCACACGGTATACGAGAAGACATACAGAACGTTATGTTACGTCCTCTGTTCACAAGGACGACGACATGAGGGTACACACTCCACTAACTTATGAGGCCTCACTTTCCGGGTCTAGAAATTAAGAATGAAGGGCAGATATCCTTCCAGTCCGTTTTCTTATATCATAATCGATTTGTGACCAGCAGCCTCTGTAGGTCCTTCTTCCGTACAAGTTTTTAGTAGACTATTAGTGCTTTCCCTAGGCTGATTTAATTAACTCGTCAAACGGATCAATGTGACTGTTTTGATTACTAAATAATTTCTCTTTAATCTACCATTTTAACATTCACGAGAAGTACTCACGGGTTCAACAAACATTCCTTCTGATAGTGGCCTTTCAACTTGCGGAATAAACTGAAATTGTATCTATTATTACTTTTTTTTGTGCCTAACAACAGATATTCCGATGAGGAGCAATATTTGAATACATAATATATGTTTGCAAGAGATAAGAAAAATCAACTGAAAATATATGCTTGAAATCAGGGTAGAGTTTCCCTAATAATTTTAGCTTGGGGTTCCTCTGATAATCTAAGACCGGTGTTGTTCCGCCGGTAAAACGTCATGTTCGTTGTTCAGGCCCCGGTCGAAATCATTCACCTCCTTTCATTTCAAGGTTGATAAATAATTGCCACTTTGTGTGAAGAAAACAAGACAACTCACCATGATAGCCACACAGCTACTGCCTACCCTGTCGTCAAAATGAAGCACTCCTGGCTGATTGCATGAAAATGGAGATCAACGCCTCACAATTAAGTGCATAAAAAGAAAGTTGGCAGAAATGACCCATCAGGAGAGTGCAAGGAATACCAATATTCAAACAGCTACCAAATTTCTTTCTTTTCCGTTGACATAGCAAAATTCTCGTTTAGAGTAAACTGCAAAGCTAATCGTTTTCTTATCATCCAATTTTCATCAATGTTTTCGATTCTCTGCTGAATGAAGATCAGGAAAATATTAGATCATAAACTCTGACCTCTGGAACTTTATCCTTGTTGCTCAAACACACGACTGGAAGTCGATGTGAAAGCTTTTCTACCAACCGTGTGTTTGCTCTCTCCATGGCCAATTTATCAACCTTTTACAACGATGTGGCTGATCCCGGTTAGTGCATTTATTTCCTCGTTCATTTATTAATTTTTTTTATTGTTTCAAACATACTCTTTTCATTATGCCTCTCCGAGTTTGCAATTTGTGAAGAGCGTTCAATCCCTTAGGTTTCTTTTCTTTCCTCCACGTGTCAGCACTGGAACCAAGCATTGACTGACGACCACTCACCTGAAGTACAAAGGCTGCTTCCCGGAGAGGTGCATTTAAATTTTTCAAATAATGCGTTCCAAGATATGGATACTCTTCTGGTGACTTTTTCAAGTTCGTTCCTCGTTAAGCTTCAGGCCACTGACTTGCACAGTTTTAAGGGTCGCATCATTTTTGAGCATGACCTGAGGTTTACCTGAAGATCGACGCCATACTCCTGGATACAGCTCTGCAGTTATTCTGAAGAATTCGTGCATAAAATTATTCATATTGTTGAATCAAACGCGGACGGTCTTTTATGCGTTGAAATAAACTTTTTCTATGTGGTAAACACTGTACGGTGAAACGCTAATTATACTGCATAGGTTGCTGAACCACAAACAGAAAATTCGACTTAAAACCCATTATGAATAAGAGCTTCAGTGATGCCCATCATAGAAAGACTAAGAGCAGTCGAATAAGCTTCTGCTCAACTCACAGTCAACCTTCAATCGATCTAGAGTGAGATATGAGGTGAAAAACCAGAATGATCACGAAATCATCTAAATTTGAATGCCACTCATTAGAAACTGAAATATGGGGTCACAGCTAGGAACAAAACGACGACAGTTTCCTGCAGGACGTTCGGCGGATTAGCAATCAAAGGGTAAAGCATAACGGCCTCTCGAACAAAGCCTCCGCAGTCATGAAAGGAATGCAATTAAAAGAATGCAACAATTTTAGATTTTAATGAGGCAGTGTTCAGTATGAAGGTGAACATGTTATGAAATGCGACATAATCACTGATCAATACATGTGATTTTGATACAACACTCAGCTGACGGCCACCGTTGAAACGCAGACGTTCCTCTTTTGGCCTTATAGTAATGATCTTCAAGGTGATAGAGAAACATGGTTTTCATTTTCGACAAATCAGGACTAGTGGAGCAGTACCAAGGGTCGACTAAACAAGCCAATCAGCTTTAAAGCTGGACAAATTTACTAGGAGGAGACCTCGTCTGCGAGAAGGAGTGTGCCCTTTGTATGTCCTTTATTGAAGTACGTCCTTCGTTGAAACAGAATGGTTTTAGGCTATGTCTCAATGAGCCGCGGATCCGAGATTCGTGTCCA